TTAGTGGGAGTCGTTTCAATTCTGTTAACGTATTGTAATTTCAGATTTTCCGTTTCTTCTAGTTTCATCGTGATTTCTGCTTGTTCTAATTTGTCTACTAGTTTTCGAAAATCTAAATCGGGTTCTCGAATTGAAGAAGGATGGGATGCTCTCTTTTTTATTGCTATTTTCCTTAATTGTGGTGTTAAGGTCATCATTAAGATTTCTGTCATCTTTGTGTTTTTATAGTCGTGTGTATTTAATGAATATGCTTTTCGAACTAGTGTTTCGATTCGTACTGCTATCTGCTTGATGGTTTCGTTTGGTAATCTGCGAATTTCATTACATAAAACTCTTTGTTGTTGTTTGTTTCTTTCGGAGTCAAACATTTTTGAAAATTCCTGTGTAAACCTTTTCCAGTTTGATTTTATTTCTAGAGGTAGTACTGAAAACCATTTTTGGGCTGCGCCATCTAAGGTTGTTTGTATTAACGCTGTGCGTCGATGTATCCAATTTTGATGTAGTGGCGTATTAATTGGTTCAGGTCCAATATTTAAAATCAGGTTTGCTGTTACTGCATTTAAATAATCTTCTACAGAGTATTCAGGGTCTGTTCCTGTGAAAACCATTAAAGGTTTGTTTGATGTTATTGATGATCCACCCATAAGGTATGGATTCATTGTCATTTGTAATGATTCTGCTGCATTTGGCATTTGAGAAAAGTTTGAAAGTTGGTTTCTTGTTATTTCATGTTGTTGGAGATAATATGGGAGTGGTATTTCATTTTGCATTTGTGATGCTTGATACGAGTGTGCAGTCATTGGATTTTGTTGTTGAATTGGTTGAAAAGATTGTGTATTAATTAGATTTTGTTGTTGAATTGGTTGTTGATGTTGTGCATCTATTGGTTGTGGAGAAAAATTTCTATGATTTGTACGTGTTCTCTGTATTCCTTGTCTACGATATTCTTGAGTATTTGGTGCAAATATATCTGGTTGTAAGAAATCATCATCTGAGGATAAATAATCCACTTGATAAGATGTCTGTTTTTTATTTTTATTTTGTTGAAAAAATGGGTAATTTTCACTGTGATCCTGTGGAGGATTTGTTTGGAAATTTATTGAATTAGGTTGGGTCATTGGGTTATCCCAATTTCGAGATCTTGTATATTGGTTAAAATTTCTTTGTGGTTGGTTATATGTTTTTGATGGATGTGTATAATTATAATTATGGTCTGCAAAGTTGTTTCTAGTGAAAGTTTTGTGTGTTTTTGATGGTATTGTCATGGGTCTGTATGTTTGGTAATCCATTTGTGAATATTTAGGAGCAACCGAAGGTTTAACGGTTGATTGTAAGGTTACCTGTGTTTGTGAAGGATTTGTATTTTTTGGTGTTGTTAAATTTGGGCGTATTGGTGAAATACTTTGTTGTGTAGTTGTTGTGTGTACAATTTCTTCATTTATGAAGTGTGATGGTGTCTGGATATCTTGTTGAGTAAGATTCCTAGTTCCATTGAGGTTTTCATTGTGTATCACTGTAGAGTTTAAACTATTATTTTGTGTATCGGGCAAAAATGTATTATAGTTTAATGGTGTTGCATCAATGGTGAATGGTATTACTTTTACATAATCTCTTATGTAAGATATCGTACTTATTGCTTGACTTGAGATTGATTGTGGGAAGCTTATAAATGCGGGATGAGACCATTCGGGGTCCCAAACATAATCTGATTGTTCTGTGATAGCGGTATCATCGTTCGAGTTTTGGGGTCTAAAATTTTTTCTTGCTTGTGCAATTAAATCAATATTGTGTGTGAAATAATCTATTATAAACCATGCAAAAATTTTTTGTAGATCGTGTTTTGTATGTTGTGAAACGTCGTCTTTCGTGAAATTTTCTTTAATGATGTTTAAATAACTAGAGAGTAGTGTGATTTCATGTCGTACTTTCAAATGTTTAGATGTTTCTGTCGGTGAGACATTTGTTATTGGGATTTCGTTTTCTAATATCGAAATATAACTATATATTATTGCGAAAACTTCATTGGTGAATATGGAGTTTGCTCTTTGTGAGTTATGATATTGGATGCTTTTTATATATTCTGAAAAAACTTTTGAAAATTCTAAATCAAGATCGTCTGTTTGGATTGTATATTTTCTATTATCATGGTTTGGTGAGGTGAATTCTATGGAGTAGATTCCATACTGTTGTGTTATGTTGCATATATCTTTTAAGTAGTGGTCTATGATTTGTCTTTTGATTTTTACATCTGGGAACTCTGTTTTACATGGACTGATTCCGGGTTCAAATAAATTTAATAGTAAATTTTTGCAAAATATATGCTGTCCTCTATCAGTGGTTGCATCTACTATAAAAGGAAAGATTTCATCATCATCTGGACTTTCTTCACCTGGGGTGTGCGTTGAGCTCATTTTTTCGTTCGATGACTGTTAATATGTAATTATTAATGTGTCGAATTGGTTGATTCCAATTGTATAAATGTACTGGTTTGTGTTTATACTGCTTTTTTATTCTTCTTTTTCCTCTTTTTGATGAATTTGAAGTTGTTTCTGAGTCAGAAAAATATAATTGATCGTGAAGTGGGCAATTTTTATCTATTGATTCTTTTAGTTTGTAAAGTTCGTCTAAACTGTTGGTTTCTGATTCTGAAAATGCGTTTCGATTTTTTGAAAATCTTTTTCGTGTTATTTGTCTTTGTTTCGTTATTATTTTTCTTTTTAGTGTTTGTCGTTTTGTTCGAATGTATCCAACTGTTTGTGTATGAGGTGTGATTACAAGGTCGTATTTTTTGTTATCTATTTCACAATTGTGTAAAACGATTGTTTGTTTATTTCCTAGGTTTTTAAATGACATAAGGTTTAGGATGACGGATGCAAAAGGTTGTTAAATGGTTTCTATTTTCTTAAACTGTTAGTTCTTACGATTTTTTTGGTTAGCCTAACCTGGGTCTATTTGTTCAGGGTTGGAGAGAAAAGTATATCGATTCCGAGGAATGATTTTTTACTTTCTCGTGGCTAGTATAAGTTAAGGTGTTAACTTACTTAATCTTACTTAGGGGTAGTGATTGTGTTCAAGGGTTGGAGAATAGTAAATCGATCCACAGGGTTCAGGTATAATTAGAACGCGAGTAGTTCGTTAGATACTATTTTAAACTTACTAAGTCTAAGATTTATCCTGGGTCTGGTAAGAGGAGGGTTCAAGTGAAGGATGAATAACCGAAGTTCTTCACTGTTTATCCTAATTTGAATGATTAGTTTTGTTCAAAAATTTCTATTAGTCTTGGGTTTTTTGAAAGGGTTGGATAGTGAATCGACGTTTGAGGTCGTTAGACACTAATTAAGTGGGTGGGGGAGAACAAAGTTGTTCTGTTTGATCCAAGGATAAGCCTTGATGATCAAATTTGAAATTTAATTAAGTAGAAAATGATTTAAGATCCAAGGATAAGCCTTGATGATCTGGTTTTAAAATTAAGTGAATTTAAGTTTTTATAAAATTTTAAATGTGTGTAAAGGAAAGATTTAGTGTTTTGATGATATTAGTGGGTTTATGATTGCTGTTATGTTTTAGATGATGGAGCTGGAACAACAGGATGATTTATGATTACTAACCATTTATTGTCATGCTACTAATTTTTATTTTTATTTTTCAATAAATATTTTTCAAACATGTTTTGTATATTACTGCAGAGTTTTAGGAAAACGATCTTAGATCTTTTTATTAATCGTTATTGTATATTAATAATTTTGTTTAGCGCCTGAAATGATTTTGAAGATTAACTTCAAGGTTTTATGTTTGCAAATGAAAATCTAAATTCATTGCCAGTAGTATTCTAAATATAAAAGTTTGTTCTGGTTTTTGCCTAACTATCATATAGCTATATGGCAAATTTCTACTTTGTCGTATGTCGTCTCTGGTTCGAGGTCTTCTTCCAATTCCGGGTAGTTCTGTTATGGTTCGGAATATTGGCTCTGATCTATTGAGTCGTAGAGACATTTCGATTAAATTATTGTCGTATAACATTTTTTAAATGTTTTTGTCTAATTTCTAATCTATTTTGGTTAATTCTAAGCTATTAAGGTCTTGTTCGAGACTTATGGTCGCACCAGATGAGTTAGGACCGAGTTGGTTAACTCATAGAGTAATTTCGGATAGGGTACACCGTCTGCTCGTCACGCTATCTTATTTTCGGCCGGATAGATTCGTGCAACTTCTTAGTCTAATACCGATCCTAATCTTACTCTTATACTATCTAGTCTCAGGTTGTTTAACTAGTCTCTGCTAGGCTCAATAGATCTAGGGTATACTGGTTTATTGCGGCTGCTGAAGTGCTCGGGAGAGTCCAACTAATTTCTAAGTTAAATTCAAATCTCTCTGGTGCTGAAATTACAAGTAACTTCAGCACTTACAAATAAGTGGGTTGTTAGTTAGATGGATCATTATTGGTTAATATTAAATACTTTACATTGGTAAAATATCTAAATTATCCAATCATAAAATGTAGTCTAGATCAGGTTCCAATAGTTTCTGTTAGTCCCTAGACAATACCAAACAAAATATCACACCGATTAAAAGCGAAACGTGCAATACATATGACAATTGAAGTAGAGAATAATTAGCTAAATTTTCAAGATAAGGCAGTTTTGACAGCAACTATATGCGTATTTAGTTTTTTTTCATTGCTTTGAAAAAAAAATGAATTTCAAACTTTTGTCCAAAGGTCATAAATGGTACGTCATCTGTGACACTTCTACACGGCTGTGAGATTCTCTACTTGTAGTAAAAAATTCTCAAACTTTGGTTCTGACATTTTATATTTTTTGAGCAACACAGAACATTCTAAAACGTCTAAAACTAGACGAAGAGCAACTTCTTCATACTTTGAAAATAAATGAACATTTTCTCCGTTTTCAAAAACCAGTCAAAATGAGGCGCGTGAAATCAAGGGTTCAAATCCCAAAACGGGCGAAGTTGCAACTCGACCAAATCTGTTAGTGTTTTAGGTGCAGTTTTTGAAAAGGTGGCCGTGAACAGGACTGTTATCCGCCAGGCCATAGACGACATCAACTCCAACTCCAGGATCCTCGGAGGCAGAAGACTCCAGCTACTAACTCAGTTCTTCGATGACCTAGATCCCGTTGGCGCCGTCAGAGCAGGTATCTTTTGCCATTGCTCCTTTTTTCACATCCTTCAGTTTCCGACCTCAGCTAAATATAATGACAAAATTTTGGACCACAAAAATCTATTCTAATCATTTTTTTTCATTTTAATTAGAATTTGTTAAAATGTTCCGTTTAATTTCAAAACGTCTTCTGCTGCGGGCATCGCTTCAGGCAACGGAAATTTTAAGAATTTTTGAAATAATAATGCAATAATTGCCCAAAGCTAATTTTTTGGTAAATTTCCGCCCAATATTTTGTTTTATTTCAAAAAATTTATAGGACACATCATTCTATAGCAAGCTTATTGAAAGGCTTCGATTTGGTGCAAACAACGTGATTTTAAAAATTCACCAAAGTACGAGGACGAAATGTGTGCTCGTACAATGGATCTCTTTCATGGCAAAGAAAGAAGGTGGGGTGACCCAAAAGATCGTCTGTTTCAGAAGTCATTTTCATCAATATCATTTGTTTTGCGACTGCTAGTGATATTGTATCAGACCTGATATCTTCTGTTCACTGAACCTACTTTCTTTGAAATTCTTCCTGCATGTTTCAGTTTGTGATTGGCTGGATGACCAGGGAATCACCACCCTCGTTTCGGCCACTTCATGTGCCACATCAGTGGCCCTTCAGGCCATTATGGCTCGGGTGTCCATACCCCACCTCCGGATCCCAACCCCCACCAACTACTGTGATTTCTCCCCCTACCCCAATTTGACAGCCATGACCTTGAGCATTGATCCATCGATGGAGAACACAAACAAAGCTCTGAGGGATATCGTGTATGGCCAAAAGTGGGACCAACAAGGAAAAGCTATAGTTGTTTTCTTCGACGATTCACTCGGTAGGCTAATTGAATCTTTTTCTACTTTGTCTTCCAATAGTCTATTTTTTCTATGACAAGCCCAAGTTTAGTAAATAACATTGTAGAATTTTTCTTTAAACGGATCTTGAAGTTGCGAGGGTTATTATGGAATTAAACCTAGTTTTCAAGATATTCTAGGGAAAAAAAACAAATTCCTCGGCATGGCATGTGCGAAAGGAGTTTTATGAATAACAACTAAGAAATTTATGGTTTTCATTTCAGAAAGTATTGGTGGGTGCAATTTCAAATTATACCAGCGGTGTATTTCATTATCAGTGTCTTTAGTTAAGGGTTTAATTGTTAATTGCTCGCCCGGTGTAAAAAAGCAACATGAAAGTTGCGGAATGTCGGTTCCCTGTATAAATAGAAACCATCAATGAATGCATCTCCAAAGCTTACTGTGAATAATTGATGTGCGTCAATATAAAAACTGAAAGTTTTGGCGAGGATTTTTTGGTTGCAGCTAAATTTGCAAAAATAGCTTCCAAGATTTGTTCTACAATTTCTGCGTTACCCACAGCCTTAATTATCGCGTTAAAAAAGTTAAATGTTATTTTAAAATCTAAAAACTATGCCGTTGCAAAACCTTTATAAAATTTGTCTGGGGATTTTCAAGCAGATATTGCGGAATGACGATTTTCTATTACTTTCGTGCTTGGATTCTTGACTCCCACCCCCTAGCAAAATTTAGGACATGAAAACGAGAAGTAATTCCTTGAATTTCTATAGATTTTGGGTGCGGCAACTTCTCGGCTTTCAAAACGTTTAATAACATCAAATTTCAGGAGTCTTTGATTCAAAACTTGAATCCAGTTAAGACATACCTGTTTGGTTGATACCGTCTAATGCAAAAAAAAATTGCAAAAGAAACAAAGTTTAAAACTCACAATTTTTTTAAAGCATTTTTCCCCTTTTGCTCTCAACTAATTGACCAAAATAGATTTTTTCCTGCATAGGATGGATATCTATCACCGTGCAAGAAAAATCAATCGATTTGGTTGAGACGACGAGGAGTAGAGTAACCAATTTTAAAGTACTTTCATAGCTCAATAGTTAAGCACAGTCAAAATTTAATGTGTATAAAGTTTTGAAGTGTATCGAGACTGCTCTTATATCAGGGCAAAGCCCTGAATCTTCTGACTGCACCCTATTTATATCGAATAGTTTTGCGGGAAATTAAAATATTGAAAAACTATAATTTTTGGACAATAATGAAGATCAAAGTGTGAAAACTTGAGTCGCATGAAATTAATACGACCGACTAGCTCAATTCAATTTGGAAGGCTTTCGTTGAGCGGGATAACTGCCACGCATAAGTAATTTGCGTTACGGTTTCAGGATTATAAGTGAAACCTTCAAACTGCGCATAAATTAGTCCAGAGCATGGCCAAATTTTTAGAGCCCAAAAATTTTGCAAAAAAAAATTGGATATAAAAAACTTGATTTCAGTGAGTCGATATTTTCAATGGAACATTAAAAATATTTGGTGGAAACTATTTTTTTGTTCGCTAAAACTTGACTGATTAAAAGAACTCCACCAAGCATAAGTATTAGTTTTTTCGAAAGTCGGAACAAAAACTATTGTTCCGACTTTCGAAGAAAGCGCATAATATTTATGCCTAGGGTGTTTTATTATTCAGCCAACTTTCGACTAATTGAACAGCGTTTTTGGTAGAATATTTTTTACCATCTGAAAGATTTTGTTTTGAGCTCAAAATTATGTTTTTTTTTTGTAGAGTTACTGGGGTTTGAAAATTGCTAATTTGGCAGATTTGGGACTTATAACGCGCGCAAGCATCAATTTAATGCGTCCCAAACTAAATTGTTGGCATTAGTTTAGTCGTTTCAAAATAAAAAAAAGAAGCTTAAAACACCTTTTGTATTTTACTTAGCATGTGGGGATAAAATGAAGAAAAAAGTTTGTGCATTATTTTGTGAATTATTCAGCAAAAAAACTCTGTGTTTGACCTCAAAATGCAGTCAGAAGATTCTGGGCTTTGTCTTGATATACGAGCAGTCCTTTCTCAGTTTCAGTATGTTTTGACAAAACGATTTTGAGATAACCTTATTTCCTCAAGCTGAATTAGTTTCGACAAAGAATTTGCACTTGTTCAATTCTATACATCTAATAAGAATTAAGCGCAAAACAAACGTAGAATTCACTATTTCCCAATTTTGCGCTCTTTGCTGCCCTTTTTCTGCCTACCAAAACAAAAAAAAGGTTTACCCTGAACATGCAATTATATCCACCATGCGCAAGGTTATAATTGTTCATATACAAAAAAAATGATTATTTTTCGTGTAACCAATTAGGATGAATAGAGTAACAAGCAATTCCACAGACTATGAGGACACGCACGAGTTATTTTTAATAGTTTAGTTAATAAACCACCCGCACTCAGTAAAAAGAGAAAATAATCGATAATATTATAATTATAATCGTACTTTTAGCAAAATTATAATTAATTATAAGCGCCAATTTTAGATGCTTAAACGATTTATAATCCATTATAATTTCAACATTTTTGGTGACATTTCAATTAATTATAATCAATTATAATTGATTATAATTTTTCCAAAATCTCTTATAATCTATTATAATAGATTATAATCCTTTTTACTATCAAAATATTATCACAAAAAAAAATCAGTTATAATGGATTATAATTTAGCTATTCTGCATAAAAATACAGTAAGAATTAAATTTAATGTGAGTTTAAGCTATAAGCAGGGGCGGATCTAGGACTTTCTCGGGGGAGGGGGGCGGTTTTTCATAAATTTTGTCGACCTTTTTTCTAAGTTGACCAAACTGATTTTATGAGCACTCGTAACTCACTTCAAAGAGCCCATTTTGATCAAATTTTCTGTGCCGCAGGCAAAATTATGAAAAAAGGTCAAAAAAGGCGTTTTTAGACAATTTTTGGAAAATTTTGATCTAAAAATCGCGTTTTTTTTGGCGCGCTCTCCCCCCAAAAAATTGGCGCCAAAGACGCCTTTGGAAAGTTCTTAGGCTCCGTCACCAAAAATGAATATCTCAAGAGAGTTCAAAGGGGGAAACCCAGCGCCCACCCGTGAAAAGAATTAAAGCGATGACACAACTGTTGAATAAAAATGGATTATAATCCATTATAATGGATTATAATTCAATAAACTTGGAGAAAAAATCTTTTCAAAAAATAATCGATTTTAATCGATTATAAACGATTATAATGATTTTTATTGTTTCGAAAAATAGCAACATTATAATCCATTTTTGATCGATTATAATCAATTCTTTTTGAAATTTATGGAGACTGACAATAAAATTCCATTATAATCTATTATTTTCTCTTTTTACTGAGTGTGGGCACTCTATTTTGCCTCGAAAAAATTATAGCTTTTGAAACACACAGTCCTAATGATTGCTTAAGAACATTTCTCAATTGAGTTTTTTAATCAACAAGGCGAACACAATTTAGGATTGTTGATCATATTTTTTTGTTTTTTTAAGTGTTCAAAGTTTTGCAATTTAAGTTAACAGCGTAAGTGTATAATGGTAACTTCTACGCATCATTTCCGTTTTTTTGCGGCCTGAACTTTGCGCAATTCCTAAGTTCCAGAAATCCGTCAGATTGCATTTTAATGCGACTGTGAAGTGATTTAGTCTTCCGCTATCAGTCGCAAAATCGGCAATTCGAGGCAAATCGTGAGCTGCGTTCGCTGCTTTCAACGGCGAGGCAACTTTTGCCAGCCAGAGAAGTTACCAAAAACTGCTTATTGGCCTTTAACTAAGAGGCAATCACAACAGCGTCTCGTCGTATTGTATTGAAATAATCATCTGTTAGCCGTTTCCCTCGTGAATGAATCGTAGATATATAATGTTTTTGTTTCAAAATTATATAAAACTATAATTGTTTTGCGTTTTTTGTTAGACTGTCAGAAAAGTCAATCAGTAAAAGCGGCTCTGGTAGGGTTGCCCCGGCTGACATTCTTTCACACCGCCTTCAACACCACCCCATCCTCCTCCCTCTCCCCCGCCTCAACATCATCTCCACCTTCGTCGTCGTCCTCTTCCTTCTCTAATAACCCAGCCACCGAGCTCATTCTGCAGGCCCTCAAAGCAGACTCCACTGCGGAGTATGTGTTCATAGCTCTGGGGTCAGAAGCGGCCGTGACTGGAATTTTCAAACAGGTAATGCCTGCACATATATCTTTTAAAAAAGTGGCTGTCAAGTTGTACAATGCGTTGAAAATCTTTCAAAATTATAGTTTAAACTCATTCAAACTTATGCCTGACAATGTGGAAATCTGAATTTTTTTCGCGTCTGAAAACAAGGGCGATTTACAATTTTTTCTAGATAGGAGGGATGCCAATTTTTTTTTTGATAATTCTATGTTTTTTTTTAACTTAACCATTTTTTTTCATAAGGATATCAAAGCATTACAAAGATCCTATATTGCCAGATTTTTTGAGCTGTTTTTAGGCATTCTTGTTGGTGAAAATTGGACAAAAATACACCCCTATAACCCCTTTGGTAATATTTAGTAGTCTTTTTTCATAACAACATATGAGAACTAAATATAATCAACATATAATCATTGGTAGTTTCAAATTTTCGAGAATATTCAAAATATTTTTCAAGTTTGTCGGGCAAAAAGGGTGTCAATTGTAAAATAAAACCAAAGGGGGGATTTGTCTGCCCCTTACTCTGCCAGGTGACCCTGAATTACGCATATTATATATTACAGATACTTTTTGAGATGTTAATCCGGTCGAACTCTGATTTATGCACCAATTAGTGTTCGGCTCAAGCCATAAAGAGCGTTGTGTGGCTCGCTACTATCCTGAAAACTACCCCTGATACCCCATTACTCCACTCCCTAATGGTCACCATCCCTATTAAGTGACCGAAATTTTAAATTAAACTTTAAATTTCATGGAAATTTTTTATGATTTCATTGGAGCAGAACTGAAAAGTAATTGATAGTTTTTATCTAATGTTTTTCAGGCTATCGCTACAGATCTGGTTTCAGGAAGCATCACATGGGTCCTTTCCACACCGGTTAGTTTATTTTCGTTCACACAAATAAGTTTGAACTTAAATGCTAAGTCAAATACTTTTTAACACCTGCAAGGTTCGTCATTTTTGAAAAACTAGTTCCCACGGCAGGAAAAAATCTGGCAAAAGATGCACCCTGAAATAATAGTGATGATATAATGCAATCACATGGAATTGCGACCAATTGAAGAATCAGATATTGGCCAAAGTTGAGAAATGAAATTGGGAAATATTTCAGGCAAAAGTATAAACTGTATTTTTCAAATTTCGAATTTGTAAAATTTTGATCCACCCAGCCGTATTTGGTCGGGTCAAACACCGTGAATTTATAGTAATATCAACCTGAACTGAACTTAAAAACTGAGTCTGAACGTAAAAACCTGAACTGTTTTTTATTTATAGTGTTAGTGTTTCATGTTTTTAGTCTACAAAGGTACTAACTAACTAATAAACAGCTGCCGAATTTCATGACCTGCGAGGCATTATTGATCGTTTCAGTCTGGGGTTGTTCTCATGTCCAAAGAACCGAATGGCTTCAATTTTTCAAACAATCAACATACTTTAAACACTTCAAAACTACCTGGTTTTTCAGCTTAATTCTTTGGCGTTATAAAATTTCGGTTAATTGATATCATTTATGGGGATTCGGTCTTTTGGGCATGAGGAATTCCCCCTTACAGTGTATCTATACAGAAAGCAGCCATTGACCTCTGAGCTCTGCGTCTTATTTTCCAGTCTACTTGCGATAGCGTACTCGCGAGCAAACAATTTTAGTTAAAATCTACCCACTTTTAATTCAGTTATTGCACGTATAGGAGCAAAAAAGCATTTTCTCCCCCTCAATATTTTGTAAGGAATGTTGTACAAGGAGGGGGATCTAATTTTTTTTGTGGGGTGGGAGGGGGATACGTATTATAAACATTTTCCGACCAAATACATTTTCTGAGCTCTGCTTAAACGTCAAAAAGACGGAATTTAGGCAGTTTTTGGGCAGTTTTCCAATGTTTTTGCAATTGTATTTTCTCAATAAATTTGCTCTTTTCAACGAATTTGCTCTTTTCAGCGGTCAAAGGGTACCTTCTTACCTTTGGTACCATTTACGGCATGCATTTTACGCAAGCCGAGGGAATGCATATATTATGAGAAGAACATTGGTCGTCTGTTCTACAATTAAAAACGCTAGCGCATAAAACGAAAGCAGCGGTGAATTTATAATCTATCCCTCAGGAATTCAATCTCCCAACATTCAAAGATTTTTTCGGTTTTTGATACTAATTTAGGATACATACCCGAAATAAATTATATGTTTTTTCAATTGCCGCCTTTGCTTCCAATATGTTCTAGTTTTTAGAGTGGATGGCACAGCCAAAAAACATTCTCCATTTTTTTTACTAAACAGGTTATTTTTAGCTTTTTGGATAAGTTCAAAAATCAATTTGGTCCGCTATAAAACTCAAGTTAGTTGATGCAGGCTTCGACAACCACGTTATAAATCCCCCTCCTACCACCACCACCTCGCAAAAATCTTACATCCACCCTCAACAAACAGTTACTAGAATTATCTAAGAGAGCTCAATTTGCCTGAATTTTTTGAGTTCAGGGCAAAATTAGGTTTGTTTTAATAACTTCGAAGAATAGCTGTTATGAATTGGTCAATCAAATGAAAATAGTTCAAAAAAGGTTGATTTTGAATTTGGACAAAGAGCTCCGCCAAAAGCAATGGAAATTAACTAAGTTTTAGTCACCAACCTTTTTAATTATTTGCCACTTTTCTAGCTGCTCATGTGACGTTGATTCGCCCGCGGGCTTAGCCTTTAGCATGCGTGTCTTTTAGCATAGCGCTAATTGCTTTAGCCAGGTATTCAATTAAACCATCATCCTAATTGTGTCAGTTACCAATAATTTAAAAAGCTTTAGAAATCAAATAGGGTTTGAAGTTCCCTATTCGTCTAAATTAATGTTCGTTTAATTGGAAACCGAAACACAGGCTAGGAAAACAGTCCCTTCGCCTATACTCTTGAGCTTTTTTTGTTTTTCATTCCATTCCCCTCAAGTTCCGGAGAGTTATTGGCAATGAAACTCCTCAAAAACCCGCGTATTGTCAAATCAGAATGACTTTTAAAAGCAAGAATACTGCAAGATTTTGATATGAATATGCTGAAATTTGATTTGTTGAAGCTGCTTTCAACTCCAATAGTTCCAAGGCACTTATTACTAACTCCAAAACAACAGTCGAGCACATATTTTAGAGAATGTTGCATAAAATTCGAATGACGTTTTTCCCCCAGTAATTTTTTACCTGCATGATTAAAGTTTCTGACAACCTTGGTTTTGAAGTTGAAATATTCATGAAGTTCAAAACCGAATTCCATATTGGTATTCAATATTTTAAATCGCAGTATTGGCGTTCGAATTTTTTGCAACTTTCTTTTCGATGTCTGTGTCATGTGACATAACTAGTGTTTTTGTTTCCAGCAAGGACTCAACTTCACCCAGCTGCCTGCGAGGAGCACTTCGGCGACAGTGACTGTGTTGCGCCCTTCTGTTCAGAGGAGCAGCTTCAATGACCTCCCCTCTTCTATCAACTCATTCAACCAGGCACTCGCACTCACCCAGGTAGCAAAAACAGAATCTCAAAACTGTTTTAAAGTCACCCAAAGGCATTTTTTCAGCATTTTTCCTCCCCTACCACCACCTTAGATCACAGTACCGAATGTTACACCTCTGGTTACTTCGTAGTATCAAAATGACTCATCAAGTACAATGTTCAACCTAAAAATGAAATCCTCCCCTCCCTCAAAAATTGTTGATTTAGATCAGATATAATAAAAAGAGTTTATTAATTGCGTAGCTAGGAAAAAGCCTGTCCAAAAATATTTAGCAGCATATATGATTTTGTTTGGAAGAAATTATCACTTGGAGAACTTTTTGGAGGCTAAGAAAAAAATGGGTTTTTTGGGCACGCCTACCATCAAATTTACAGTATATTGGTGACAACAGCTCCTTTGGAAAAAAGGTTAAGAGTTGGTGGATATTGTATAAGCAGTCCCCCTCTCTCTTCATTTCGTTAAACTGCTGTGCCACAAGTTTATTGTATTATAAGGATTTTTGTCCAAGCTCTTAATGAGGTTGCTATTTCAGCGTCCAACTTTGGTTCTTCAGGTGAATGAATTGTAAATTCTGAAATGGTTTGACATCTATTGCAACAGCGCTGTCCGGGCAATCAGCCGATATAGCATAAAATTGAAGTATCGTTAATATTATAAAAAATGGAGAGTCTTAGAAAAACTGTTTCATTGCAAACTCGAATAATCTGCAAAAATATTGAGGCGAAAAAATCCTAGGTAATGCATCAACATTCAATTTAAAGTTAAAGCCAATAGAAATTAATTGTTTCATCGGCTTTTTGACTGCGAACACGCTGTATCGGCATACTTATTATCATACCATTGTAAATGTCCAACTTAACTCGACATAACATAGTCAAATGCATGAATTGAAAAAATTTGGCGTTCAGAAATAATAGTGTCAATTTAGTACGAAGTTATGGAAAATTGGACGACAAAAAGTTTCTTTAGATATGCACAATAGTTTTCAAAAACGCGGGTCTAGTTTCACTAAAAACAAACTATGACTAGTGGCGAGCTTCTAATTCCCTTAAATTTCATGTAATTTTACAAACTTCTAATGGTTAACTCCAATGGCTAAATTTTCTGTTCCCATACTGTAAGTGTAAGATACTAATTTTTTGGTACTCGACTAATTTCCTTGAAAGCACCATGTTGGCAATTATGAAACAAAAGAATCAGATTATTTTCTTACGCTTAACATTTGAATAAGATTGAGATTATCAGTCTGACTTTCAAAAAAGTTACAGAATATTTATACTTGTGTGTTGTGTTGTACAGTTGTTTTTTTTTAAATTCTGACTTTTAATTGAAAAATTTTGAGATAATTTTCAACTCGTTGTACTGAGTTAAAAGTTAAACATATTTTTCGCCTGTGGTTTTTTTGTACAATTATGGGCACATGAAAAATTCCAGTTTTGACAATTTTAAAAACATAACGCGCAATATGTTAAGTTCTTTAAACGACAAAAATTGAATTAATTTCATCGTTAATTTGATCAATCGTTTTTTCCCGATAATTCTAACAATTTTCTGAACTAGAAATTACTTATCCAGTTATAAGGGGCAATCGGAACAGTCAAAGACTGGCAGCGATATACAAACTTATCAGGGCCATAGTTTGTTTTTAAGTTAGTGCTCGGCGTGATTTCTTCTCAAAAAAAACTTACTATACAAAATTGCAGTATATAAAAACTATACAAGACTGCTCGTATCAGGGCGAAGCCCTGAATGTTCCGACCGCCTTTTAAGGTTTTATGGAGCAGTAATAACATTAAAAAATTTAATGTAATTAAAATATATGAAATTTGTTTTCTAAAATTTGAAATTTTTATGAAAATCATCCCCCCACACGCCACTTAAAGTACAAAAAGATAGATTTAGCTCCTTGTAACAAATCAATTATGGCAAATAAGCTTCTTTCAACCAATTTGGAACGATTTTAAGACGGATTAACTCTCCGCTTACGCGTTAATAGCGCAAAATTATCGCGCATTAATTGTCCAAAATTGGCCAAAATGGCAATCTTTAAACCCCCATAACTTTACCAAAAATGATTACAGGTAAAATATCTTTTCAACTTTAAGCTTAAGACAACAATACCTTTTGAATGATATTAAAAAATTCCGTCAAAAATGGCTAGTTAAAAAGTAGAAATTTGTCTGAAGAAAAAAAAACCCACCCCGAGCACAAATACTCCGTTACTTTCATTTCGAAAGTCGGAACAATAAAATTTTAGAATACACTGATCAGAATCTTGTTAAATTAAATCGAATGTTAATGCTTGGGTTAATTTAATTTCAGACAACTTTGTAAGTTGTAATTAAGATAATTTGATCTAACTTTTTAAACATATGAAATTGTTCAGTTCACTGAGCTCAAATATATACCTATTTAAACAGCCCTCAAACTAATCAATAAAAAATGAGAACGTCTATATCAGCAGTTTGCCCAATTCTGATAAAATGGTGTTCGCTTAAATTTTAATTATTTTTTCTATCCAACAAAAATTACACCGTAATGAATTGAGAGAAACTATTTGATTTAGAGCAGCCAACAGCACAAAAAAATTATGTTTCACTCGACATTGCATAGGGGCATCAATTTTTATGAAACCTGTTCGAAACACATGAATAGGTGTGAGCAGTTATGTTTTAGTTTATGAAAAAATATTTATTTAGTTTATTACCCAGCCCAGAAAAATAACCAAAAAAATTGCATGTGGTTCTTAAACAGGGGCACAACAGCTCTTGTGTTGGTCCTTTCCACCGTGGATAAATGGAACCCGTTTTTTTCTTCAGAAAAATATTTCTACTTGCACTACCCCAGCCTGTTTTGCGTGAACGCATTTATTCCAGGAGTAATTTCAAATATACCGAACCAAATTAACATTTTAGACAAAAAGTGTTTAATAATTGCAGTATTTTGCGTTTTCTGTTTGTTTTGCCGACCATTTGAAAAGAACAGAGGAGCTTGTATTCGGCTGTGGTATAGTTTTTTTTTCTTTTTTTGTTTGTCATGCAAATTTAGTTACCACAAATAATCATCGGAATGTGTCGGGTGATATATCCTATAAAAGCCTTTTCCTTTGTGATTCGAACGACATTAAGAGTTTTTGAAAAATATTTTCTCCTTGCTTAGAGAAATTTGCTTAAAATCAAAAACTTCAACAAAAAACTTCTGCAAAAAGTTTTAAAAATTATGAAATTTAAAAAAAAATTATTTTGTGCGATTTTTTTGTTTTTCTTGTGATGTTTCTACAAAAAAAATCCTTTGCAAATGACTTTTTTTACTATGACTGTAGAAAATGCTTAAGGTCTGTTTTTCATTCGGATCTTTTTATCACAACACGCAGAAAAACGACACTGAATTGAAAAAACTTTTATTTTTTATTTTTAAGACTATGGTCGGAATATTCTGTGTTTTTGTACAGTAAAAACCAACTTTGTTTTTCAACTATGTTTAGCCATTAAAAATTGTCTATAAAAAACACGACAATCAACAGAATTTTGATTGATTTGAAGCTTCGAGAAAATTGTTTCCATTACTGTTACAAACGTAAGATTATTGCAGCAGTAATGCTTCAATTCTGCAACGATACTGGAAAAAACTTATTAGTTTCCATATTCTAGTCAGATAAAAACAGTAAATTACTGATTTACTTCCTTATACAGAACTTAAAAATTTCTTAAATTTGTTGTTTTAGTTTGACAGTACTGATTACCTATATGATTTTAACCCGGGAAGCACCAAAAACTTAATTATTTTGCTTCAAATCAAATCCTAAAAAGTTTTCTAATAGACATTGAACTGAAGGTAAAAATACCGCGAGCATTAATGTTTGTTACCCTTTCTATGACAGTTTTTTAAGAAAGTCAGGGCATGCTTTTTACCGGAGAAGAAATCAACAGTACCCGATACTTTAACAGACCAGTTTTAGTTTGTGGTGGAGGATATAATCATTTTGAATACATTTTCGATGGATGATGTTCTTAGATTTTTGAAAATCCATATTCTATTATGTACTTCATATGGTGTCATCTTGGTATATTCAATAAACGGGTTTTTAAGTCTTAGTTCTCGTGCCTTCTATCACAACTTACATGTATACCAGTTTAAGTCAAAATAAATAAAACTGCTACTAGTTGATTAAAAAAACAAATATATTTGAAGAGCTCTATTTTAATTTGATTCGAGGTAAATAGGTCAAAAACAATAGTAAGAGAAAAATTTATCATAACGTTGTTCTTTAGTACTTTTTTTCATTGATTCATTTAACTCAAAATCTGTATAATAAACACAAATAAAAACAATTGAGATCAAGAGTTAAACGCACCAGTAGACGGAAACTAATTAGAAGTTTTAAAATAGTTATTTGCAGCACTGTAAGTTGCAGTTGAAACTCTTAACAATTAGACAAGACTGTCGTTAGTTTTTTGAACTCACTGTACAATTTATTTTAGTCACACTAACCTGTGTAAAATCAGTAATATAATTTCACCTAATAGCCAAAAAAAGCGTATTTGCTATCGAGTTTTGAATCTTCTGACATATGTTGCCTATCTGAAATTATAATTTATCTAAATCAATTGAAAGTATGCTAACCTATCAAAATTCAAAATCAACCAACAAGCTTTTTCAATATAGACTATTCAAATCAAGTCTACTTTACAGGCCTTGGACAAAGACGTTTACGATGCAATGTCTTACGTTGCAACTGCCATTCACACTTTGGGGGACAAAGTTACTCTTCCCCAGAAAAACAACTTCACATGTTGGCCCGCAGACAACAGTCGTGGGGGGTCAGTATCGTCGGGGGGATACAATCCTGGGACATCAGGGGGGCTATATAGCAACTCCCCAAACCAATGGAGTGGCGGAAAACAACTATACAACAATCTGCGAGCGGTAGGAATAACGTTTAATATTGATGAAAATGTATTACCAAGGGAGCTGCAAGTGTTTAAGTTAACATTGATGTACTCCCATTTCAAACGGAAACGGACCTCTAGGTCCAATGATTGTCTTTTGCAAGTTTACTTAAATTCCCACACTGTAACTGCCTGAAAACAAACTATTTTTATTATACTTTTTTGCCAAAGTTGTGAATTAGTTAATAAGCCAAATGATTTTAAGCTTTTAAAAGCCGAGCGCGGTTCCTTAATGGCAAAGAGTTTTTTTTTTCCAGACGCAGGTTGTAATTTTAATTACCTAAACTATCGTGAATTGCTTTTGAAAGTCATGAAATTTTAATGACTTCCCTTTAGAGAGTTCTTCTGCTTCTACTTTATACTTTTTTTTACGTCAGACCCTGGATAACGGCAACTTCGTCCAGACATTCATGGGTCAGTCGGGGTCCAGTTCGAAGCAAGAGCGAGCAGTGCCCATGTTCGACATCTTCACTTTTAATCAGACCTCGTTCCAGTGGAACTCCACGGGAACTTGGACTCCCTCCGAGGGACTGAGAGCAGACGCCTCCGCTTTCTCCAGCTACACGGGACTGCAGGGACGCACGCTACGTATTGTCACTGTTGCCGTAAGTTTTTTCAGTCTTTTTTATACTGTACAAATTTAAAAGATAAATTTTCATCAGCAGAAGGCTCACACTGCGAGTTTTTTCAATGTTGCTTGATAATTTTGGAAATTGTTTTCAACATTCTCTTATGTTTTTTTTTATTTCTCAAATTTTTGACTAACTTTTAATGTAATTTTGATTAAAAGCTTGGTGATTAGAATATTAGAAGCAGATCTTCTTTTTTGTAAGTTTTTCAAAAAAGCGACGTGAGGTTTGTAAACACATCCACCAGCTGTTTTTTCTTCTAGTTCAAAAAATTGGAGTTCAAAAAGCCTACCATTTCAATTTGGCAAATCAAGGTTTTACAGGAAAGTCGGAAACTATTTCGTTAATCTAGGAAAACTCTCCTTTCAGCCCGTTTATATTTTAGGAGAACCCGTTCATGAAGAGGTCAACGGTCGATGGCGGCGGTGCGAACAGTTCAGTGGTATACAGTGGCTTCTGCTACGACCTCCTTCTGGCCATCTCGGAGGCACTGGACTTCCGCTTCGAGATCTACGACGTCCAGGGCTACGGCAAGATGCAGCAGGGGCAGTGGAAGGGAGCCGTGGGCGAAGTAGTAAACAAGGTAAATACAACAATTCAATAATATTATTGTAAGTTTTTTTTTCAACGAGGGCACAATTTGATTATAATTTACCAAATGTATCCAAAAAGTTCCATCTTGAAAGAACATCAAATGGCAATGGCTAGTTAGCTGCCTATCGATTGGTGTCTTTATTGGCCGCAAAAAAAGCTCTATTTTGATAACAATTGATTTTGAAAATAAGTTATAAACTCAAAAATTATTGTTTTTTATTTCCACTAATAACCCTTTAAACAGCGGCTCGATCCCCCACCAACCAAAGGGACCTCCTTTTTTATGATTTTTTGGCATCCATTTTTGCCATCCTTAACACGTCCAATTGCATCCTTAACTAATTGATTTTAATATTTCCACTGATCAGGAAGCGGCTCAAAAATTTCTTAACCAAATTGATTTTCCTTAACCAAAGTGCGGTGAGCTTGCCAGCGGAGGGTAGGAATCTGTATAAAAATTCGAGCCGGTTATCACAGCGAAGAGGCGATGTACGCGTAGCACGACCACCGCCGACCTTAAACCGAGAATGGGCTAAGTTGAAATCGGATAATTGAAGTACGTCTTGTTTTTGAAATTCTAACGTCATTTTATTACAATTACATAATTATTATTTAAGTTCGGATGTTTTGCATAGCGGATGTAGCCAGACCTGCCACTTGTACAGCAATAGAAGATAATGATTTGTTTCAAAAAACATCTATTTTTCGAGTTTCAAAAGTATCAATGTGCAACGATTAGATATCATTCATTTTCCATACAAACCATATATGGATGTGTATAGTTGCGCATTATTTTCTATGGTGAACAACCTATGGTGGGATACTTTTTTTGGATCCACTTAATAATCTGTCCCTTTCAAGAAAGGGGGGAGATAGTTAAGTAGATCAAAATGGTCAATTTTTTGTCCAATCAGAATGTAGCAAAATTAGAATTCTCAATAGAAAGCTCAGTTATATTTTATTGTGATTATTTATGGGGTTGGAGATTCTTAAGTAGGTACCATAGGGGTGAGGGGGGGACATTGTTAAGTAGATCCCGTTTATTTACTGATTGTTGTCGTCTGTACAGCAAGCGGACATGGCCGTAAGTGGCATGACTATCATAGCAGAGAGGGAGAAATACGTGGACTTCTCAGTGAGGTACATGGACTACGGGGTCGGCATCATCCTCTCCAAACCCAAACCCACTTCTGCAAACATACTTGGTGAGTCACCGCTTGTAGGAAATCTGTCTTGAAAGTTTAAAAAAAACACTCAAACTAGTCATTTTGGATTAAAAAAGAATCTACGTACGGCTAAAAAGATATCCTCAAAATAGGGAATAAGTGGGTTTTCCAGAAAATGCAAAAAACGGTTGATCTAAAAATATGTCGACAAAAAAATGCAGCATGGCGCATCTGTGAAAAAAAAAACTGAAAATGACTGTGGTCTAGACTACCTGACACAGTCAGTTAGAAAAAATATCTATAAGAATTCACTTACAGAAACTATAAATAATCCCACCGAACTTGAATTTCTTTTTTTCCAGGCTAAAGGTCTATGTGTTTTTTGAAGGAAACTGTTGCATCATTCAGACGAAGTGTTTTTCTTGAGCAGAAAATTTTTTGACAAACCTGTTTGAAAATTTTGCGCAACGATATGTTGCGACTTTTCATGGCTTTATGTCGCGACTTAACTCGTCTTTAATAGCCAAATAATCAAATGCGCCACACTTATAAGCGATATAGGTCACAGACCTCGTATCGGATTAATGTAAAAAAACCAAGTCATTGAAGAGTTTCTAAGTAATATGGTTAAGTAGTTGTTATTTTCTGTATAACTGAATTTATTTTGCATGTGGCAGGATTCCTGAGTCCCCTGACATACGAGGTGTGGGGTTGCATTCTACTGGCGATTATCTTCGAGGGGGGCGTATTGCTTTTCATCACCAAAGTCAGTCCCTACACTAAGTACACTGCCGCAGAGGCCGAGGAGTCAGACCGGGAGAAGTTCAAGGTCAAGAACTCCTTCTGGTTCACCATGTCATCCGTACTCCAGCAAGGTCAGTCCGGTTCATTCATGTTCTTTTCTCTATGTTGTTTTTTCGCCAATTTTTTTAAGTTGAATTTAAAAAATATATAAACATCTCCTTCAGCCAAGCTTTAAAAAGGCGAGTCAACTTAATTGTCAAATGGTCAAGTGGTCTTTTACTGGCAACTAAAACAACATCATAATTTGAAAAAAAATCTTCAAAACAGTTCCAACTTTTTTCAATCGACGGTATTCAAAGAATGGGAAGGTTTTGAGGGGTTTTGATTCAATAGCGGTCGTTTCAATTTTTCCTTTTGCCAAAATCAGTCTTGCATAATTGCGTTAACACGCGCAAAACATAATATGTAGTTAAATAGTTTCCAGAAATTGTACCGAAAGTCTTGGAACTCCTGGTTTAAACTCCCGAAATCCTGGTTTAAAGTTAGTTGTTTTAGTTGAACAGTAAAAACGAATGTATTTCCATACCAGGTAAAGCAATAACGGATGATTCTTTTGAGGTCAATCAATACCGAACCGATATAATCTAAGACACTATAAATGCCAATATGACTACTTTGCCTCTGAATTCTTGGCATATCTTTCCTTTTATTAACCCAACCACGGTAACTTAAAACTGATAAGTAAATCCACTTAGTATAACCTTATTTCAATGTGTTTCGTTGCAATCATGCAGTAGTCGCTCTGGTGAAGTCGGGTAACTAACTAATCACCTCGTTATTAATTTAGTGTTATTTTATTACCATCTGCCAGTTGTGCCCTTTTTCTGTCCTTACTCTTCGAGTGCAGCCAACAGAAGCTACAATATAACGAAAGATTAAAAAAACAAAAAAGAATTTTTTATCTGATTGAAAAATGAAACCTTCAAATTCAATTTTCCAAGAACAGCAAAAACTGCTTAAAATATCCCAAAAAAATTACTTACATAAAATGTCAATAAAATAACAATTGCGAGAAATTTATAAAAAGTAAAACAATTAACATCGGTTTAGTGCCTCTTCTGTTGATTGCACGACCACTCTATCTCTCTCTTTCTCTCCCTCTCTATCTATCTTTTCATTTCGTTTTCGACCCTCCCCTTTTTCTTTCTCTCTTTTATCACCCCCCTTATACCTTATCGCTTTTCAGTACTATATGATGCCAGACGCGTCCTCTTAGAAGTTACGTAGATATAAAGTCTGCATATATGAATCATGCTTTTTCGGTTGTTGTTTATACTCTATAACGAAAACTCATGAACCTAGTCTTGCCATTTCTGGTGTGCTTTCAACAAAAATCTAGATGCCTCAAAAAAAGACGGTCGTCTCGGGTAAAATCCGAGGGATTCGCGGTTTGGATCTCTTTAGCTATTCCACCTATCCCCTCTGGTACATAGTAACGAATTTCCATCCGTATGAAGAACTTACTCTACGGTTAAGGACATGCAAATTTTGTACATAGGCTTGAATTGTACATAGTTAAAGAAATTCCACGGTTTTTGAGAGAGAGAAAGTTCTTTGTTACCTTTTTCGACTTGAGTGACGCAGAAAAAATAATCGCAAGTTATAGTTAATTATTCCCACATCCAAGTTTAGGCTTAAGAAATCGATTACAACGAATAATTATGCTGATTTTTTGACAACTATAATTGATTATATTTATCAAATTTAGGTGTTTAAAGGATTCATAACCAATTATGCTCATGATATTTTCCATTTTACAATTTTAAATCGATTATAATTGGTTATAATATCTTATTACACAAGCAAAGCTTGTGTTGTAGTTTTAACTATCTTTTTTTTCAACCTAAGTCGCAAATATTGTTGCGCTAAAAAGTGTTCATTATGAAAGTGTTCATTTTGATTGATAACTAGTTATTAAGTACAGCCAATGCTAAGGATATTAACACAGACTATTTTTGTTTCGACTTTCGTTACAAAAGAAACGGAATATTTTTGCTCGTGGTGGTTTTTTTTTCCTTCAGACAAATTTTGACTTTTTAATTAGCCATTTTCACGCAATTTTTTTTATATCATTCAAAAAGTATTGTCGATTTGAGCTTAAATTTAGAACAATGTTTCACCTGTGATCATTTTTTGTAAAGTTATGGGGAGTGAAAATTGCCACTTTGCCAATTTGAAACAATTAATGCGCGATATATTTTGCGCTATTAACGCGTAAGCGGAGATTTAATCCGTCATAGAAAGCGCTTCAAATTGGTCGAAGGAAGTTTATTTGCCATAATTGATTTGTTACTAGGATCAAAATTTAACACTTAGTACTTAATATGGCATGTGGGAGGACCCTTTTCACAAAAAAATCTCACATTTAAAAAAAAGTTTCATTTTCTTTTTATTACATTCATTTTTTTCATGTTATTACTGCTCCATAGACTGCTCTACAAATTGAGGTATGTTTTTGGGTAATTTCGTTTTTTTTTCGAACTGACTGGTACTGCTAATGCGTCATAATTGGCGTGCGTCACTTGAGACATTTTGTAGGCTCATAGTTTTACTCATTTAGTTTTTGCCAGTAATGTTATCGGTCATATTTTTGCTTGTGAATGCAAAGTGCAAGTCTTGAAACTAAAGCAATGTGCTGATATTTTAGTGGTTAAAAAGCGCATCATGAAACAATCATAATCGAGAAGAAATGAACTTATAAAAAATGAGTCGATTTGAAGTCTGCTTAAACGATTTTCCCATTTTTCATATAAACCATTGTCCAAAATAAAATTTAAAATGTAAATAATTCAGACTCAAGGTCGAAGACAAAACAGGCAAACAAAATAGATTAAATTTAAGTATAATTGATTAAAATGATTTTTTTGTGCATAACAAATAAAATCGAAATGGCATAAAAAGTTAGTTATATTCGCTTATAATCGTTTATAATTGATTGAAAACTAGATGGATTAGTACGCGATTGTAATTATATTAAATGTATTATAACTGATTTTTTTTCTTTTCAAAAAGAGAGATTATAATCGACTATTATTTGATTATAATAGAATTTTTTTCAATTTTACTAAGACTGGCAGTAAAATCATAATATTATTGAATATTACCGCTTGAAAATGGATGCAGGTTACTTTGTGAAGAAATAGCTTCATCCAAATTGACCTATCAAAAATCAATGTGTTTACCTTAAGTGATGAAAAACTGTTGCAGACTTTGTTTTTTATACAATGGAAAGTTTTGAAAGTAATTGTTGTTAAAAACTCCATAACTTCCTTAAAAAACTACTATTTTATCGTAAAATCATAGAAGCTGAGCTAAAGATGAATTGTCAAAAGTATCATAAGGGTTCAAATCACGCTTGTCAGAAATGACAAATTATATGAAAAGAATTAAAATGAGTCGGTATGAACTGTTTTTAATAGCAGCTCTTCAACTATAAAATTTTGAAAAACTAAAAAAAAAAATCTACAGTATCACAAATCATTGGTAAACAAATGCATGAAAGCACGAAACGAAATTTCGTTTTAAGTCACAACACAGCCTCTTAAGAGGTAAACGCTCAGAGAGCCAATGCAGGCTAAAGGGCTATACATGGCTTCTAATCAATGATAACGAAAAAAGCTGTGCAAGTAGCAGAGAATTTTTTGACCAGAGACTGATTTGAAGAAAATCAAAAATTCAGCTTGGAAGTTTTCAATTGTTTTTTGCAACTTTTGTTCACTGAATTTCTTGCTGTTTACTCTTTAAATTAGGTAAAAAATGCAAAACAGCAGTAATTTCTGTGAACGTATGGTTGAAATTGTAGTAAGTTTTTCTATCGAAAAATCTGAAAAAATAGAAAAAATTTTATGCAAAACTAAAAAATAAATCAGGCGTACAATTACACTTTATACTTCTAAACGATTCTACCATACCACTAACTCAACTGGAAAGTCTTCAAAAAATGTATGAACATGCTGAAATAACTTGTAATATTCCAAAAATAAGCACATTGGGAACTCAAAAAAAAATTCTCGCTTATGATTTTTTCTCGAAGATTTTACAAAATGAAAGTTAGCAATTGAATTTGTGTCCATGTGGCAAAAATCGATATGCAGATATGAAGTTCAAACATAACGGCATTCGTATAGTTTGAGTATTCAAATGATACGGCTTAGAAAAATGATACGATACGTAGTTAGGATTATATCGTGAATATGAGTTTAAAATATGCTATGAATAAGACGTGATGCATAACAAAAAATTAGAAAGTTTGTTCAAAATTCGAAATAATATTGTATGTAATGGTGTCAATTTAAGGCCTTAGAACCCTGCGTGAGTTCTTTCATTATAGAGAATAATCAAATTAAAAAAAAAAATTAAGTAAGATTTTGGATTTTATTAAAAAACTCTTTTTTACTGTTTTGATTTTGTTAAATTTTAATTTCGTTTCGTAGGTTTTTCAACATTTAACAGATATTTGGCAATTTATCAGTGAAAATACAGTTTCCACAAATCTCGAGCAGATTTCTAGCAAAATACGAAACATACGGCGGCGTAGCGATTAGCATATGTGCCTATTCGAACGAAAAACAACTGAGTCTAAAGCATCATTGAGGATCTCGTTAATTATTTCCCTCTATGGTACATAGTAATGAGCTGCGACCCCTGTAAAGAACTAACTCAACGGTCAAGTTTATATTAATTTTTTAGTTAGGGACGAATCCATCCCTTTTGGGGAACAGTTAAAGAGATCCTCAATAAGTTTCGAAAACCAATTGGTTTGTTCGGGGAGTTCAAATTTCCATAAAAAGGCTAAACTGAACTATAAGCAGACTCCGCGACAAGGACGCTCTCCTTGGTTTTTTGTTCTTTTTTCTTTGATCGCTCCAACAAAATTTTAAGATGTTTTAAGACTTGTCTCTGGACTCCAGAGATCTACAAACAGTAAATTGTGCGTCTATCTACAGCACATTTTAGCTCCGTAATGTCTCATTCATCTAATTAACAACTCGGTTCAGCGCACGCTTTATAATTGCAATTTTCGAATTTACTTAAACAAAACTTGAAAAAACAAATCTCCAAATTTTTAAATGGGCATGCTAATCGACACCCCTGGAAAGTAGATAGGGTTAATGCGTTAATGCATAAGAGTAAATAATTTCATAGGTATATTTTGTCTTAAATAGTTTCTGTAAGTCTATAGCAAATTACAACAAATTGGTTTAGTTAATTGTACTCTTAGCTCTTTTCCAGTTTCCCACCCTTTGTAGAGTTACATTTTTAAACTATTTATAAATTGTTTACACAGCATTTAAGAAAAGTTGTAAAAAAAATGGTTCACGTTTTCACGCTGACACGTTTTGATGCAGTTCAGAACAAGAAAAAAAACGTTAAATAGACTTTCATACATTGAATTTTAGAAAAAATCAAGCAGAGTAGAAACTCGAAAAGAGCCGTTTTCTTAAGTTTCTGCAAAACTCCTGCAGATACTTAGCAAATCGCGAAAGATATGTAGGCTAATTGCTTATCATATATTATATAGATATATTTACCAATTTTTTGTTTAAAAAAGGCACAATACTTAGAAAAATTAGTCACCCTTCTAAGTATAAATTAATCTTGAAGAAAAAATCGACAGTTGCATTAACAGACGATTGCTCAAAACGCATAGCTTGCACATCAACAATAAAACTTTACGTTTTCAGGGGAAAGCAAGCCCTGCAGAAATCTAGTCAAAACTGTATGAAAAATTACCTCGCCGCTATTTGTACAATTT